GCAAAGCAGGCTCATGGGTGAAGTTGAATATCAATGGATAGCAAAGGGATACAACACTTAAGATGCAAACTCCATGAAAATTCTGATATTCACCAATGGATTTAGGAATAGAACATGCCATGATCAACTCAATCTCTCCTTGCTTAACCTGCATAAAAGAAGAAAAGCTAAACAAAACAAAGGTAAGTTCTTTAGGAAAATAAGCCATCGCATTTTTGCCCAAAGTTAGTGCACTTTTTGCCTTTTCTTCTTTCTCAACTAACTCATGACAACTAACTTGTGTAAATGGAACTTCAAGGTTTTCAAGCTCAAGTTCATTGCTAGCATTCATAGATACTTCTTCAATCAATGGTGGACTAGAAGGAACATCTCCTTTATTACCATCAGTTGACACATGATTAAGTTGCTCAAAGTATGAATTCAGCACTTGGCTAATTTCTCCCATCATAGAGTCTACGAATTCTTTAGTTCAACTTCGGAAATCATCCTTTGATTCACGAGGCTTTGACGCTATTCGAGAATTCTTAGATTTCATAACTCAATTGTCACAACACTCCTTAGATGAAGCTTGTTTGCTTGATGAAGACCTTGGCTTAGATGTACTATGCAAACTCCTTTGCTCCTCCTCATACTCATCACAAGTATGCTTATATCTTTCATATACACACAAAGGACGGAAATTATCCATTTCTTCTCAAAGTGAATGAAACTCATGTTGTGAACGTGACATTTTCAAAGAAGTTTTAGAACTAGAGTGATCAAAACCTCTCCTCTTGGAAGATTCGTACTCCAAGAATTCTTGATGATGAGATGCAGCTCCACGAGACATGGTTAAGTGACTTGCAAAATTGATTAGCAAAGAAAAGAAATTCCTTACAATACACAAGCTCACGTGTATGCACTCGTCACTTGTGTATCACTCAAATTTACACACTTTAATTATCTCACCACTCTTTCAAGTCCTTGATCACAATCCTCGTGACAATATAAATTGCTCACAATTTGATCAAGATGACTCAACTATCCAGTTAACAAGTGGCAATAGATAGAATTTAAAAAATATAGCTTGAATGTGACTCAATGAGACTTGACTCAAAATCTGAAAAATTTGACTCAAAATTACACAAGAATAGAAGAAACAATGGGTATAAGTGATAAAACAATGATTCGGCAGAAATTTGGAAACTTAAAAACTCTACCCAATTGTACTTGGTTGGAATTTGAAAGTTTAAATCAATTGATTCTTGGATTCACTTTTGGAAAGCGAAATATTATTTTAAGGAGTTTTTCCAAGTGTGTCAAGCGGTTTAACAAACCAAATTGGACAAGGATTTATGTGACTAGATTTTGGTAACAATCCAAGCCAAATTAGGTTTTCAAATTGAAGACTATCTTCTTGTTTTCAAATTTAAGATGATGATCCGTCCAAGAACTTGTTTCTTTCTTTTTTTTTTCACAGATGAAGATTATTTTTTCTCTTTTTTTTTTCAATTCAAATCAAGAAACAAGAACAACCGCAATTTCAAATTCAAGAAGATGAACTAGAGTTTTTTTCAAGAATTGCAAGATTTTAAAGATTTGATTCAAGATTTCCAAGAATCCAACTATGCAATCCAAGAACTTCAAGAAAACACCCAAACCAACTACAAAACTCAAGAACGGTACTATAACAGTATGATGAATAGTACTGCTACAGTAGTGATGGTGAACAGTACTGAACAGTACTCCCAGATGAACAGTCTTTTTTTTTTCTTTTTTTGGCTCTATTAAAACACAAACAAAGATGACTCAACAAGATATAAGAATTGATTAAATGATAACCAAGGTGATCACGCGAGATTCAAACCCTAGAACGATGAATAGAATTTTTTTTTGAATTGGGTAGGGTTTGGTAGAAGAATAAAGAGGAAAATAAGAAAAGAAAAAGATATTAATCTGGATTAAGAGTCGAAACTCTGATACCAACTGATGCGAATTCAACTTAACAAGAACCTATTTTGATGAACCAAATTGGTCAGGCAACGAAAGGATCTATCTTGATCTAGGTTAATATCCTTTTGTTTCTTGTTTTTTCTATTTCTTTTTCTACCAAAACCTTAGCTGCCTTTTGATTTAAAATTTTTTTTTATTTTATCGCTTGAGTCTAACCTACCCCCTTAATTAATCAAGGTTGAAATTTCTTGGTGTGATTAAGTTCTTGGAAACAAATTTTTCAAGGGTTTAACTCCCATTAAATTTCTTCCAAGTGAAATCGTGACCTTGTATTGATTTGTAAAAAAAAAAAAAAATCGGTACTGTTCATGGGTACTATAACGATTATTGTTCATCGCTACTATAGTATACTATTCATTCAAGTTACTTTTCCCGAATAAAAAAAATTTTTCAGATTGTATTTTTGTGTTTGATTCTTCGTTTTTGGTATCCATCCGTGGTTAAGTGGTACAAGAGTCATTAGGATTTCCAGTTCCTAGTCCACTTAGGATTAGTAAGTCCGTGACTTTCCTTTTCTTATTATACGCAACTTTCCTTTATTGTCCAATTCGTAGCATCTTTGGGAGTCCATTAAAGCTATTTTTTTCAATCCTTAATTGCGTGGGAAAAAAAAATTTTCAGAAATCCTAACTTCCAATTTCAGCCATAAGGAAATCTACCCAACCGCAAGTTTCTTTTGGCCAAATTTAGATTCGAGGACAAATCGCTTTCAAGAGAAGGGGAATGATACAAACAGTAGGACCATCACTAACTCGTGTCAAGATGCTTGAGAGTCTTTTCAACCCAATCCATGATGTTCAAGACTCCATTGGATTACATGAATTCATGGAGGCGATAGCGCTCCAGCTATGTGATTTTCGGGTTTTTGATTTCTTTTATTTTGCTTGATTTTTTCTTGTTTAATTGGTTAGTTAATCATTATTGTGAATAAACATATCCAGGTATGTGAGTTGTTTGAGCCATTTAAAACTAGTTAGAGAAATAAGTGACTAAATTCTTGTCCAAATTGAATTAGTCTTAGTAGTTTAGATTTTAGCTATAAATAGGCCTCTTCTATTCCATTGTAAGACAACTTTCTGAGAGATGAATTAATAAAAGTGAGTTATCTTTTTTTATAGAGTTTCTTGATGGAGCTTGAGTTTCTTCTTGAACTGTATCAAGTATTTTGCTTGGATACTTGTGGTATGTAGGACAAGATGATCACATCATTTCTGAAAGAAACGAATTGCACAGGCAGTGGAAGGATCTATCTCGACCAAGTTATGGATACAAAGATGGAACAACCTCAACTCCACTAACCCACGAAATTGCGAACCTTGAATCTAATTGCGATCCACAACTCAACAAGATAGCGAGTCAAGATGTGTTGGTAGAATGGCGTCACAATTCAACGTGGTCTTGAATTGATAAGTCAAAACTTGAACAAAGAAGACACGACTCACTTAATTTTTATTCATCTTATAACTGTTTACCCTAAAAATGTTAATATTTGAGGCTTATTTATAGCCTTTTACAAGATTCAAAGATTTAAACCAATTTGGAAACAATTAACTACTTTTCTAAAACTTTAACTAGACTAAAATAGGAAAATAACTAATTCAAATTGGCTTAATTATAGTCAACATGATTTTAGCCTTTATTGTATGACACATATGACTCAACATTAACTAATTAACCACCTACTATTTGATGGAAATAGCGAAACACGCAAGGCTGAAAATTTTCAAACAAATGACACATAATAGTTTTCAGCTAAAATAATCCAGACTATGAAAAACTACTCCAAACCAAGGAAGAGATCCAGATTTGTGGAGTTACAATAGATCAACAACTCTTTTATCTTGAATTGTCTTTAGAATTTGACGCCATTGATCACATGTTTGTGTCATTAATGATACGAGCAGTAGGACCATCGCTAACTCGTGTCAAGATGCTTGAGAGCCTTTTCATCCAATTCATGATGTTCAAGACTCTATTGGATTACATGAAGTCATGGAGGCGATGGAGCGTCACCTATGTGATTTTCGGGTTTTTTATTTCTTGTGTTTTGCTTGATTTTTTTTTGTTTAGTTGGTTAATTAGTCATTATTATGAATAAATATGATCAGCTATATGAGCTATTTGAGCCATTTAAAAATAGTTAGGAAAATAAGTGATTAAATCTTTGTCCAAATTGGATTAGTTTTAATAGTTTAGATTTTAGTTATAAATAAGCCTCTTCTATTCCATTGTAAAACAATTATAAGATGAATAAAAATTGAGAATTTTCTCTTTTCTTGTTCCTTGGGAGCGTCCCTTGATACAAAATGGGTCATGTATTCTTTGTTCAAGTTTTGACTTATCAATTCAAAATCACGTTGAATTGTAGTGCCATTTTACCAACATATCTTGATTCGCTATTTTGTTGAGTTATAGGTCGCGATTAAATTTAAAAGTCGCAATTTCACGAGGTTAGAGAGGTCGTAAGTTTCCAAAATCTTTTTTATGGTAACAAATCTCATTTCCTTTTCATTCACAAACTATTTCAAGACAATGACCTCTAACCATTGTGGCCTGAGTTTCAAAGTCGGCAAGACCATAATCTTTTGTCCGTTTGGCTAAAATGCACAGCTTCTGACCAAAGCAAGTTTGAAATCCCCATATTCTCCATTCCGTAATTGAAAATGTCAACTAACTCACAGCTTCTGACCAAAGCAAGCTTGAAATCCCCATATTCTCCATTCCGTAATTGAAAATGTCAACTAACTCGTTGCAGACTAGGTATATCAATTGGTTATGACCACGTAGAAGATATGTACGCTTAAATTACAAGAAAGCCAGAAAAGTAAATCGATATAGGATCTTAGTTCAGTATAGAAAAATAATTGTCAGATAAGAAACTTAAAACTGACAATAATTACACTTTCTTTACAATAATAACTAACCTTATAGGTGAATTACACACAAGAAAAAATTCCAAAAAAATCAAAAAAGAAATTAACAAAGGTCCACCTCTAGAAAGTTTTGAATCAAAATGAATTCATCTCCAATGTGTAACTTCTTTTCATCTTCAACAACTTCCTCACAGCTTCACCAAACACCTTTTCCTCCTCCCCCTCCCCATCAAAAGCGTTCACCACCCAATCTGCCCCTCTTTCCACCTCCTTATTCCCCTCCTTAATCGGCTTCATCACCGCCAAAGTCGCCCCTTTCATCACAAAGCCTGACGCGGGTAGCTTCAGCTCTGGAACATACCACATCTTCATCCTCAAAGGAGGCAGTTTAGTCCTCTCCATTAATGTCTCCTTATCAACAACCTCCCCTGACCCTGAATGATCCATACATTTCACGAATTCCTTGATCTGTTCTCGATTCATTCTAAAAGTTCCTTGATTGCTTTCATCTCTGATAATCAAATTATGCAGAGTCTGATGTTCCATCAGTGTCCTTTGAAACAAGTTATGCCTAGTTGAAGCTGCAATCAAGCAAGAAATCGTCCAAACAATCCTCAACTTCAACTCTTCATCACCAATTCGCGCTAGTGAATCATCACCACAGCTGCATAATTCGCTGCTTTCATTAATCTTCATGGTCTCTGTGCCACCTAGGAATAAACAGCTCTGAAGTTGGCTTCCAAACTCTGCCTTCCATCTCAACAAATTCGAACCAATTTCACCACTGGACCTCGGAAGTACAAGCTCCAGACTTCGCATATCCTTAAAAGGCTTCAAGACTTCATCGGGCCTATGATAAGAATAGTCATCATCACCATGATGACAAGAACCTGACTTCAACTTGAGCAACTGACTCAGAAATTTAAAGGGCTTCGCGAGAACTTTCCCAACAACATTCTTGAATGATTTCTTGAGCTCTTTGGAATTCTTCTTAATAGGATTCTGCTGATTTTCCTTCTTCATTGACAGGAAAATCGCGTCGACTTCTGGAACGATTGCATAAAACCGCTTGCAAACGGACATGGATAAACACAAAGTCTTTGCATCCTGCACTTTGTTGAAGATTGAATGCACAATAGGGTCTGGTAGTCTGTCAAAAAGATCTCCTTCTACGTCATGAAGAGTGGAAGAAGCCATCATTTTCGCCCGTTCTTCAATCTGAATTCTTGGAAATGTTAAAATGGAGATTTATATACTTAAACAGGGATATGTGAAGCTATTAATAGACATGTCGGTCGAGGAAGGAGACAAGAAAGAGAGTGAAACGCGTTGAAACAATTGAGGCGCCACCATTTATTTTCTGAAGGCGGCATTGTTGACTTGGGAAAATTTTGAAGAGACCAATCCAATGGGAGATAGATGGGTGGATTTTGGAATGATGGATTCAAAGTGGATTTGATTACGTGGCAAAAGCTCATATCATTGTGGATATGTTGCATCTGGAATCAATGTTTTAAAAATCGGACCGCTCATTGAATCGGTAAAGTAAAAGAGTCGAGATTTAACAAATCGGACCGGTTCAACCTCGATTCAATAAATTTTTTAAAAAATTATTTATATAAATATATATATGTATAAAATAAGACATGTAATGGATTAATTTAATACTTTATATGATGAAAGATTTACTATTTTTTAATAACTTGGATTTTTTAAAAATAAATTTTTTAAATTATAAGTTAAAACAAATAAATTTCATCTCAATTTCAACTATATCTAAATCCAACCCAAAAATATCACAATATTATGAAATTATACAAAATTCACGTCTATGAGAATTGAGATATTGTGAACTTAAATTTTAATTTACGTTTTAGAGATTGCAATTTAAAAAAGGAAGTTTGGAATTCGAAGGAAGTCAAGAAAATCGAAAATAGAAATGTAAACTTGATAAGAAACAAAAAATGAGATAAAAGTGAGTGGTTGTAGCATTAAATAATTTGGGTTAAAAAAATAATTCTTTTTTAACTTTTTTCAATTTAATGGACAAAAACAAAATTAAAAAATGGAAGAAAACATCAGTAAATTAAAAATAAAGAGATTTGATTAAAAAGGGAGTGACAAAAAAAAAGATGATAGAGAGAGAGAGAGAGTTGAAAATTAAAAAGAAAGAGCCATGAGAGGATGAGATTTTATAAGAAAAATGGAAAAAAGAAATATGAGTATTTGCTTTATATAAATAAGTTATCAAAAAAAACTAATAAGATGTGATGGTGCAATGGTTAATACATTGGTATTCTATTACAAAGGTCTTGAGTTCGAATCTTGATAGCTGTATTTTGCAAAAAAAAAAAGAGAAAGGTTGAAAACCGGTTCAATAGCTGTTCGACCGCGATTTTTACGGTTCGATCGATTCTTGACCGATTTTCTGACAAAGTCAACTATGACATTGAACCGGACCAGTGCCATGGCCGGTTCACGATTCAACCGACCGATCCGGTCCAGTTTTCAAAACATTGTCTGGAATCCGTTCATATTTGAGAACAGGATATACTTTTGTTTGAATTATTTCTGTGGATCAGAAGAGAATCTGTTTAAAAAATCTGCTGATGATTCAATGCTACCGTGGATGCCATCGGAAGGTTTGCTAGTTTGACTTTGATTGTCAGAGGTCAAAAAAGGAAAACTTAAAGTAGGTTTTGTTACACGCGTTGCAACGCGATGAACATTTTTATATTTTTATATGCCAGAATTATCGTGTAAATGCGTATATTCGTTTTTTTTTTTTGTATTTCTTTTGCATATATTTATCACTCTTTATTTAATTTCCATTTTTTTAAACAAATTAACATTGAATTAACGATTGTCTCAACTCTCAGGGGCACAAGGCACTCATAAAACAAATGTAATTTTTAAATGAGAGAATGGATTTTTTTATTGAAATTAAACTTAATGGGGAGGAAAGAATTAGATGATAAAGTGAGAGAAATTGTAAATATGAAATTTTGATTTCAAATTCTCACAAAAAAAAAAAAAGAAGAAGGGAGAGTTAAATAGGGTGATAAGGTGAGAGGGATTTTAAGCCATTTTTTTAAACTCAAACCAGGTTGACCGATTCAAATAGTTGAATTGAGAACCGGCCAAGCGTTTGATCTAAAATCTCATGGTAAATCCTTCAAATTTTCAATGCAAATCCATTTTCATTTCTTTCACTTCAATTCAGCCATCAAAAATCAATGTTTGAACCTTTTCTTAAACAAGATCTAATCCTAGGTCTTGCATCCAAAAGGTAAGAAGACAAAAAAAAAAAAAACAAAAAACAAAAATGGGAGATGGAGAAGAGAAATTCTAACATTTTCTGCAAATCTATTTTCACTTCTCTCACTTTAATATATTCATCAAAAATCAATGCTTGAACCTTTTCTTAAACAAGATCTAATCGTAGATCTTGCATCCAAAAAGAGAAAAGACCCCAAAAAAAAACCAAAAAAGGGAGATGGAGAAGAGAAAAGTTTGAAGAAAATAGATAAAATTTGATGTTTTGTGAGTTTGAGAATAAATAACTAACAAATAAGAATGGAAATCAAAATTAAAAAAAGGAATAATTTCAGAAACCTCCCCTGAGGTTTTCCATAATATCACTTAGCTTTTCTGAAAATTTTAAAATCTCACTTACCTCTCTTGGATTGACATTTCTTATAACATTTTAATCCCTTTGAAAGAAATACAAGAAAGATAAAACTTTTGTTCCAATACTACCCTTATGTTATCCTACTTATGGAATTTGTAACAACAATAAAATATAATATAAGGTTAAATTTATATAAGGTGTAAATTTCTCGACGTAAACTATATATTTTAGTTGTATTGAAACAAAAGCAAAATTTATACCTTGAAAAATTCACACATATGAAGAGATTATTTTAGTTTTCAATATAACTTAAACTACACCATGAATTAAAACATATTTCTCCAAAAATATTTTGACTTCCTTAATTTTAACTCCGCACGGAATTTTTTAAGGTGTTAATTACTCACCAAAATCCTCCTAAGTGGTTGATCTTGATTAGATTTAATTTATTCACATCCTTTGTTATCCCACCATTACCCCAATGTAAAGAAATATGGACCATTATTAGGTAGCAATTTTTTTTAATTTACATTTTTTGCTTTTAAAATTTTATTTTGTTTTGGCTTTTTGATTAAATAGTTATTAAGAGCAAGGGTAATGTTATCAATTTATGACCTTTGATAGGAATATTTAGTCTTGTCAAAGTTCACAAGCGAGATAAGTGAGATTTTAGAAACTTAAAGAGAACTGAATAATATTATGACAAACCTCAGGGGAGGTTTCTGAAATTATCCCTAAAAAAGTGAAGAAAGAGCTTACAGAACGGGGGGAGAAGAAGACGATGAAATTGTAGTAGTACTGTGGCAGCCTGCGTTAGGGATTAGTGGTCGAATGGGGAAGTATAACTGTGGGGTCAAGCTTTTTCAATATTATGTTTTGATCCCTTGGTTATTGAAAATTATTAATATACCTGAAATATTTCATACTCTATGAATCGTATCCTACAGTTTGATGTTATTTTTTAAATAAGTCCAAAATTTTAATTCTAAACTTGTTAATGTTCATTGAATAATATAAATTGCTACTTAATTCTTTTAATTTCTTTGTAAATAGCTTTGGAACATGAAATATATACATATATGTCTTTATCTATATTAGCATGCATGCTTTTAGGTATGTAAACATGCTCTTAAATATTTTACATCATATTTTAATTTTTAAATAATTTTTATTTATAACATCATTTGGTTCTTAGACCGGTTTTTATTCTGGTTGAACCCATTGACTCCTAATCCTTGAGCTCATCCGTGTCATTGTCCGATCCGAATTTGAAACATAGATTGTAAGTGAGAGGTCTTGGTTCAAGTTTTTTTTAAAAAAAAAACGCAAGTTTGGATAGTGTATTATTTGAAATATTATTTGGAATAATTACTGTAGCACTTTTTGTGATATGATGTATGTGAGATAAAAAGGTGATTGGGAATATAAAAAGGTAGGTTGGGAAATGTGTTTGTGATGCAAGCGAAATATTATTTGGAATAATTTTGGTATCCAAACACTCACTTTTTTATTGTTTATTTTTTTTATATCTTCCCTTGGGGATGTATATACAAATGCCAATAGATCAGAATGTGACAATTTTTTTCCCTTAATGGATAGAATTTGAGAAGTAAAATGTGTGAGAGCCCGTAAAACCCTAATTATTTTCCTAGGGTTTATTCCCCTTTAATTGCATAATTTTGCATTTTCTGGCTTAGAAATATTTTCTGAGAGGATTTTATGAGCAATTATAGTTTTAAGATGATTTTCTAGCGTTGGCGAGTTTTTAGAAAATTAAGGATAAATAAGGGACGTGAGACCCACTAGTGCGAAAAATTCGGAAAAATTCGGCCAATAAGGTTAAGTTTCGGATACTGTTATAAATTTATCGGGTGTTAAGAGATAAGTAGTGTGTGTGAAGTGATTGATGTGAGAGAGAAAAGAAAGATAAGAAGGCATTAATGAAGGTGACAAGTGTCACCTTCTTATTGGATACTTTTAAAGAAATACTATTCATCATTTTGACTTTCTTGACCAAGGGTTAAATATCTCAAAAAAAATCATAAAAATTTACCATTTCTTACCTTGTGTTGGCCGGCCATCCCAAGCTCAAGAAGGAGAAGAACTTCTTCATTTTGCAAGCTTCCACTTGGTCCAATCTACCACAAACCAAAGCCTAGAGTTGTTTCTACTCCATAAAAACTTTGCTTCTAGTGTTAGTAAGTGTATTGGTGAACTTTGTTTGAAGATCAAAGGTGTCCAATATCCCTCTTTCTCTTGATTTCTTGGTAAGTGTTGCTTGAACACCCTACTACCTCTAATAATGGTCATATGATGCTTAGAAGTGGCATGAGTGTGTGAAAATGTGATTTATTTCTTGATTTGGCTTGTTATGGTGAAGTTTTTATTTTATTGGGATTTTTTCTGGTTTAATATGATCTTGATGTTGGGGGCTTGTATGATGAATTGTAATGGTTGGAAATGACTCTAGTGAGTGTGAATTGTGGTTAAATGCAATCAATTTTGGATTTGGTGTGAAATTTGGAAAAGTTAGGGTTCTTGAACCCCAATTCTGTCCGGTTTTAGATCA